TTTATTGGTTTAAGATTACTAGTGGGTTAATTTTATTGACTGAAGATTTATTTTTACTGACTGAAGATTTAATTTTGCAAGCTGTCTTCCATTTTTTAACAGCGTAATATAATAATAGTCATAATTATTGCTTTATCAGTTTTAACAAAGTTATAAAAGTCATGTTGAAAACACTTTTATTTGTGTCATGCTTGCCTTACATATATATTTCTTTATTGATTTTGTTGTTCCTAAATCTCTGATACTGTAAATTGACAAGTTCATATTTAATTTATTTCTACACCTGGTTACCACATTTTATTTAACTTTTGCCAATAGCTTTATAATTATGAAGGATTGTGAACCTTATGGTGCCTTTTCCTGTGAAGAATTTATATTTGAGTTAAGAAAGCACCTCTTCATTTTAAGTACAGCCTCTCCCCTGTGACTTGTGGTTTACAGTAAAGACTACATAAATAACAATAACAATAAAATAACAAGTAACTGAATGGTGTAAAGGATATAAACAGATTTTTCTTGGATTCATATAAAAGGATTCAGTCAAGTTGAGTGTGTGTGTGTGTGTGGGTGCATGCGTGCGTGCGTGCAGTTTATGGATATAAACTCTCCTTTAATCAGCAAAGTATTTTTGAAGAGAATTTGAGTGGCTATATATATTTCCTGTTAGGAAAATGAAGTCCAGTCTACATTATATTTAGAATGGGTATCATTTTCCTGTAAGATTCTCATTAAGCTTAGAATTAGCCTGCAGGCTTTAATTTGATTTAAGATCTTGTTTATGGTTAATATTTCACAATTTTTGAAATACCAACCTTGAGAAGAAACACTTTTTCCATTTTGTTGAAATTTGAAACATATGCAATCATTTCTCTTCTAATCTGCTATATATATTTCTAGTTCAAAATATCAAAATATCAAAACTTGATTTACACACACAGCAAGGTGCCTGTGTATGTCTTATTTTGTTGATTGAAAATTGAGTCTAATAAACTTTTACTTAGTTTTCTTTTGATACTAGAATGTTCGATCGAAAAGAGAAATTTGACTACCAATTATTTTTATTGCTCCCTATTCATTTTCTTTAACAATTTTGTTGTGGAGGCTTCATCCTAGTTTGAACAGAAATTCTCTAATATTTATTGACCTAAATAGATATATACAGGTGAAACTCGAAAAATTAGAATATCGTGCAAATGTTCATTTATGTCAGTATGGCAACTCAAAAGGTGAAACCAATATATGAGATAGACGCATTTAGAATATCGTGCAAATGTTCATTTATGTCAGTATGGCAACTCAAAAGGTGAAACCAATATATGAGATAGACGCATTTAGAATATCGTGCAAATGTTCATTTATGTCAGTATGGCAACTCAAAAGGTGAAACCAATATATGAGATAGACGCATTTAGAATATCGTGCAAATGTTCATTTATGTCAGTATGGCAACTCAAAAGGTGAAACCAATATATGAGATAGACGCATTTAGAATATCGTGCAAATGTTCATTTATGTCAGTATGGCAACTCAAAAGGTGAAACCAATATATGAGATAGACGCATTTAGAATATCGTGCAAATGTTCATTTATGTCAGTATGGCAACTCAAAAGGTGAAACCAATATATGAGATAGACGCATTTAGAATATCGTGCAAATGTTCATTTATGTCAGTATGGCAACTCAAAAGGTGAAACCAATATATGAGATAGACGCATTTAGAATATCGTGCAAATGTTCATTTATGTCAGTATGGCAACTCAAAAGGTGAAACCAATATATGAGATAGACGCATTTAGAATATCGTGCAAATGTTCATTTATGTCAGTATGGCAACTCAAAAGGTGAAACCAATATATGAGATAGACGCATTTAGAATATCGTGCAAATGTTCATTTATGTCAGTATGGCAACTCAAAAGGTGAAACCAATATATGAGATAGACGCATTTAGAATATCGTGCAAATGTTCATTTATGTCAGTATGGCAACTCAAAAGGTGAAACCAATATATGAGATAGACGCATTTAGAATATCGTGCAAATGTTCATTTATGTCAGTATGGCAACTCAAAAGGTGAAACCAATATATGAGATAGACGCATTTAGAATATCGTGCAAATGTTCATTTATGTCAGTATGGCAACTCAAAAGGTGAAACCAATATATGAGATAGACGCATACCTTTTGAGTTGCCATACTGACATAAATGAACATTTGCACGATATTCTAATTTTTCGAGTTTCACCTGTACAGCGAAAATTTTAGTAGGCTATTTTATATTTCTGTTGCTCTTTAGCTTGACATCTACAAAATGTTCCTTTCAGTCGTCATAATGATGATGTTCACATAATCTGTGAATATGTGAATCTCAGAAGAGGCTGAGAATGTTTTTCTGTACAAGCTAGGGCTGTATTTGTCCATCACAGCATTGTTGCCCTCTTGTATGAAGTTTCAATAATATTTCTCGCTCCTTGCTGCAGCATATTTAATTGGCTGCTTATTGAGTAGGAGATGCATTCTAAAATAGCTTTGCTGATATTTGTAGTCTCAAACAATATTGTTCCAAGTTACATTTGACTCTAAGTTCTAAGGATAAAACAAAAGTTGTTGTTGTTCAGTCATTAAGTCATGTCCGACTCTTCGTGACCCCATGAACCATATTGCGCCAGGCC